ATTATACCCGACTCGGTTCTTGTTGTAGTGAGGACACTCGGTGGCGCACTCGCTATCGATCATCCAAGCCGAAGCGCTTCCAGTGTCGAACAGAAGGAGAAAGTCTTGCTCGGGCTTTCCGACGCCGACCTGGACCATTTTCTATTCAAGTCAGTTTTCGCCCGTGGAACATGATCTGGTTAACATACGTAGCCATCCTGAACGACTATGGGCATGTCCAGGACGGCAGCTGAGGCAGCGCCGAGAAGGGTCGAGGTGGCCAAAACGGCCGACGCGAAACGAGTGACAGAACCCATCTTTGCTTATGTGAGGTCAATGAAGAAGTTCAGGTAATGCGAGAGGCGGAATGGGTCGTCAACAAATTGTAGATTTTGCGATATCTTATAGGCAGAATGAACCATGTGACGTATTGCGCACAGAACGAGATTAAGTGGCTAGTGACTCCATAAACACGAACTAATCTCGGTTGTTGTAGCTATTATTAGGATGAGCAAAGCTAAAGTACGGCATTTATGTCCGTTGCATAATTTCAGGTTATGCATTTCACAATACATGCATAGGTCCAAGCCAATCAGATAGCTCAAATTATCTCTGAATGTGTCCACATTTCACATCGTTGTTAATTCTGATCGGCAGTCTCCTGTTCCAATTCGAGCGCAGACAATTGTCGAATAAAAGCCCCAATACACAAGGCCAGACGTCGCATACCGAAATAAACATGGCCAACACCTAAGAAATATTAAGTAGACGAATGCTCAATCTGTTGTGATGATTTTACCGATATTTTCATCAATTTGAGACAAATATCAAATGTTCAGTGCATGATGTTCTTGAGACATGCTAATGAACTTAGCGTTTGTGACATCTTGGCTTGATACGAGAAATCTCGGGTTTTTAGTGGACATAATTACGCTGTAGCCGGAGGTGCTGAGGTGTGGATCCATACTCAATAGGAGCTTTAGGGTAGCAAAGTCTGTGTTTAAATTATAAATACTCAATCCAGTGTACTCTCTTGACCATCAGACGCATGTCAGAGACGTTTGCATTATGAATAAAATGGCCATATTGCTTGGGAGAAGGCTCAACATCAAATTGGCATATGTGTTAGTAAGTAACTTTCCGCAAAAAAGCATGTCACTCACATCATGGCTCAAACGTCATGGGATAAGCAAGCACAACCTTCAGCGCGACAAGATACTCTTTCTTGCAGATCGAATGACGTAAACATACCCTTAGCCTTTCATTGGTCGCCTCCAACTCTATAAGAGATACCGGTAAGTTACTCTAAGCAGTATTCAATATTTGATATATAGTGTTTGAACTCCAAGTGATTTAAGACATACGTCACAATTACGCATTCTGCACTTTGATGCCCGTCTAAACGTTTAAACAGACTTTAAGAGATAGCGCGTACTTATTGTGTACTGAGATTCATGCAAAGACAGCCCAAGAAAAATGCAAGTTTAAAAACCGGCTTGAATGCCGAAGTTAAAATTTAAGGAAGACGCATAAACCTATCATGATTGGTGGGATCTAAGCATCTCCGTCCAACGATAACAGTGCCCAATCAATAGCCGACATTAGTCTCGGCAATGGCAGCGAGCATACTTATTCTAGAAAGGTTCGAAACCTACTTCTTAGTAGCTCTAACCGTCTTTGGACTGCTATGTCGTCTGAATAATCATGACAAACAGTGAGAATTTGCAAGCCCGACCGGGATGCGACCTGTCAAACTTGGCCCCAACGCAGTGTTTGACGTCTCCAGGGCGGACATGACGAGTGTTTCACGGCAAACCCGGACCACCTGACTAATGTAAACACTCTATCTTATCAACATTTAGCCTGGATTATGGGGTCAAATCGGCCAACTATGAGGATCTTAACTCATCGTAGCATGAATCAGCTACCATGGCACCCACTATCTGCCCGGCGTTATCTCGTAGACAGTTTAGTCTTCGGCCTTGGTTAACGGAAATGCCTTGGTTCGCTCCATCGATGAAACCTCACAAGCTGAGGACCTCAAAAGCATACAATGGGGCGGCAAGATCGGGTTTTCAACACCCAACTTCTTAAGGAATCAAAGCCCCATCCTCGATTGACATTCCCATGCCGGTCATTATCAATCTATAAAGTGGACCATCATTTCTTAGGCTCATCATGCGCTTCTCATCTCTTTCGGGCGTGTCTGCCCTTACCTTGGCCGCTCTCACGGCACCAGCCTCATGCAAGCCCGCCGATTCTACCTACGATTACATTGTTGTTGGCGGAGGCCCTGCTGGCCTGATCACAGCTGAGCGACTCTCAGAGGCCAACAAGAAGGTACTGCTTCTCGAGCGTGGACATGGTCCAACCGTCGCAACTGGGTCCAATCACACTCTATCTTGGGACTCCTCCCTTACCCCAATCGACGTTCCTGGCCTCTCTTCTGCGGTTGGTGGACTTGATCTATGGAATGAGTATATGTGTGATGATACTGCCGCCCTAGCCGCTTGTGTTCTTGGTGGCGGTGTCACCGTCAACTACATGGTCTTTGTGCATCCTCCTGCTCGCGACTTTGACGACAAATGGCCCAGGGGTTGGAAATGGAACGATGTTGTACCTGCCGCCGACAGGCTGTATGCTCGCAATCAAGGCACTCTAGTACCATCCAAGAACAACGAGCGATACGACCAGGGTCTCTACAACACTTTGTCTGGCTTTTTCGATAAGCAGGGCTGGAAGTCGGTCGACATGATCAAGCAGCCCAACGAGAAGCACGAGGTGTACAGCTGGCCATCTTGGAATGTCAAGAATGCCCTGCGAGCTGGGCCCGTCAGGACCTATCTCCCCCTTGCCCAGAAGCGAAATAACTTTACTCTTCGCATGGGTTCCAAGGTCATTCGCGTTGTCCGATCTGGCTCGCGAGCCACTGGCGTTGAGGTTGAAACTGCTGCAGGCAAGAAGGAGATTGTCAAGCTTTCCAAGCACGGTCGCGTTGTTCTTTCTGCTGGCGCCCTAACAACTCCTCGCCTGCTGTTCAACTCAGGTATTGGACCAAAGAAACAGATTCTGACTGCTAAGAAGACTGGCGTCACTCTTCCTGCCGAGAGAAACTGGATCAGCCTCCCTGTCGGCGAGAACCTCATGGACCATCCCATCTTCACCTTTACTGTCAAGACTGGTGGTGCTTGGGGCATGCTTGACACTGATAGTGTCTTGAACGGCACCGATACCAAGAACATCGATCTATATGAGAAGAAGTCCTCTGGAGTCCTGACTCAAGGCCGCCATCGCATGATCTTCTTCAGCTCCAACAAAGGTTCCGACGGTGTCACTCGATACTTTCAAGGATCATGTGCTGCTGGAGGTGATGGCATCGCTTCCATCAAGGTCTACATGACTCACGGCCTGACCTCGACTGGTGTTCTGGGTATGACTGAGGAGGGCAAGACTGTCATTGAGAAGTCTCCTTACCTGCAAACAAGTGGAGATGTCGAGGCCGCGAAGGCTTTTGTTCAGGATATGGTTGAGAAGATTACCGATTCTTCATCTGGATTCGTGCTTCAGAAGGACACCAACACCACAGCTATTCTCAAGGCTGTTACCAGCGGGAACCATTATGCTGGTACTACCAAGATGGGTACTGATGATGGGCGAAAGGGAGGTTCTTCCGTTGTTGATGCCAACGCCAAGGTATATGGCATGGACAACCTTGTAAGTGTAGCTTGTCTCTTTCTACTAATGTACTTGCTAACTATCTCCAGTTTATCTCCGATGCTGGCATCCACCCCGACCTTCCTACTGGCAATATCCAGACCATTGTTATGGTTGCCGCAGAGGCTGCAGTTGCCAAGATCCTTGCTTGTTAAGGAAATTTAGCTGTACAAGGGCATGTCTAAGTTGGGAGCTAGAAATGTTATTTGCCGCTGAGACTTATGGCTGAGAGCTTAATCCAGCCGAGAGGACCTAGTTCTTACACACTTTTCGCCACGTCGATGCAGACCTTGCCGAAATCCTTCATGCTCTCTAAGTGTTCGAAAGCGTCCCTGGACTCTCCAAGGCTGAAAGCCTGCCCATCTATCACTGGCTTGATGTTGTTAACGTCAATTGAACAGTTCATCTTCTCGAATTGCACGCGAGGGCCCACGTATGCAGTACGTATAGTCAAGTGCTTTATTCTTGCAGAAATGGGGATGGATGCCATAGGGATATCAAGATATCCCTCAAGCTATTAACTACAGGCGTGAGAGCCGAAGAGAAGACAGGATACTTTCCTAGAAGGCAGATGATAAAGTTGTAGAATAGTGTTCCTTGTGGTAGAAGATACGTTTTCGAGACTCATCGGTTCATGCCTAGAGTTCGCAATTTAATTATCATCAAGTCACCTACCCTCACTGCCGAGGCTTGTATTCAATAGATCCTCACTGGATCTTGGTTGCAGGCCACAAAGCTTCATTAATCAACTGAAGTACATTTTCTGTATGTCTGAAATTCTGCATGTCGATCCCTTGTCTGCCGAGGCGCAAGAGCATCTAAAACATTCTTTTATCAGGTGAACCTTCTTAAGTTTTAAAGAAGTGTATTAAGTGTTGGAAGTAGCATGGGTTCTTGGCTATTGCTGATTTCGGGGTATAAACTATTCACTCGCCGTAATGGTATGTTCATGATATGACGTGTTGTGTCAGCAGCTAACGACTAACCGCCGTTAGTAAGGTTCTAGTAGCCAGAAAAGCTTCGAAGGATTTGGGCCATTTATGTCTGGCTATTTATGTCATTGAATTCAGAAATATCACCGGCTATTAACGTGATTGCCATCGTACGACTGCGTTGACACAGCGTAGGTCTTATACTGAATCGCCGAATCCGGGGAATCAGCGCTAGACTCGGGGTTTAGTCTATACTGCGATTCACAAACAAAGATTTCAGACAAACAGTAATAAAAAGGTCCCAAATCTGCTAATTGTCAGACTCATATTCCTCTCAAAACATCTCAACTTCTACCATATGAAAACTTCTTAAGGATGCCCAGGAGAATCATCATCATTGGTGGGGTTGCGGGCGGCATGTCCGCGGCCACTCGTCTTCGGCGTCTTGATGAATCAGCCATCATTACTGTATTTGAACAGGGAGCATATACCGGCTTTGCCAACTGCGGCATCCCCTACGCGCTGGGCAAAGTCATTGAGCATGACGAGGAGCTGATCCTCCGCACACCAATGGACTTCAAAGAACGATTCAATATCGATGTTCATGTTCAGGCTGAAGTCGTCAATATCGACCGTGCAAAACATTCAGTCAGTGTACGGACTGAAGGAGATGATTGCATTCGTCAATTTGGATACGACAAGCTCATACTTGCGCAAGGTGCCGAGGCCTTTCGCCCTCCATGTGCTGGGACGGATGTGGACAACATTACCACGATACAGACCATTGCTGATCTCCAAAAGGTGCATAAATTGCTATCAGATCGCGATGCAAAGTATGTATGTGTGATTGGAGCCGGCTTCATCGGCATCGAGGTTGCTGAGAACTTGCGAAAGCTTGGACTTGATGTTTCAATTGTCGAGTATGGATCGCATATCTTTCCGCCTATTGATGGCGAAATGGCTGAAATACTTCACTTAGAACTCCGCAACAACGGTATTCAGCTATTTCTGAACGAGTCAGCCCAGAAGATTGATAAGTCACGAGTCACCTTATCTAGTGGACTCGTGCTACCCGCCGACCTGGTGATTTTGGCTGCAGGAGTCAGGGCTAGAACAGGACTGGCAAAGCAGGCAGGTTTGGTATTGGGTATGACCGGAGTTAGAGTCAACACTCACATGCAAACCTCCGACCCTGACATATATGCCGTCGGGGATATGGTTGAGACACAGAATAATATCATGGAAAGGCCGGCATTGCTCGCCATGGCTGGCCCAGCCAACAGACAAGGCCGAATGGCGGCTGACCACATCTGTGGCAAAATGGTTAATTATCGTGGAAATGTTGGCACTTCTGTCTGTCAGGTATTCGGTCTGACGCTCGGCTTCGTCGGACTTTCGACTCAAGTACTCCGTCAACTTGGTCATGATCCTCTTTCGATCACGGTGCATCCCCCTGATCATGCAGGATATTTCCCAGGGTCACATACTATGACTATCAGACTTGCTTTCCGGAAGGAAACAGGCCAGATACTGGGAGCGCAGATTATTGGCAAAGCTGGTGTTGACAAAAGAATCGACGTCCTGGCGACAGCAATGCAGTTCGGTAGCACCGTCTTTGATCTCGAGCATCTTGAGCTGGGATACGCGCCACCGTACGGCTCGGCAAAGGATGCAGTCAACATGGCTGGCTTTGTGGCATCTAATGTTCTTCGCGGAGACTGTAAGATTGTCCATGCTGAACAGCTCACTAGAGAAAAACTTGACGAACTGCAAGTCGTGGATGTCCGCTCTCCTGAGGAATTTGCTCGCGGTCATCTTCACCAGGCAGTCAATCTTCCGCTCAATAACCTGAGGCAACAGTTGGCCACTCTGGATAGGTCAAGATCAACTATGGTATACTGTCAAGTTGGTTACCGCGGCTATTTGGCTTACTGTATTCTCAGACAATTTGGGTTTGATGTTGTTAATCTTGATGGGGGCTTTAAGACAGTAGTTCAAGGACGATGTCAATCATTACATAGCTGAAGTCTGGTTTCAATTTAGGTATTCAGACTCTGTATTTTCTACTTTTAGTTACTAACCACACTTTTAAGAGATTTCAAGAGCCTATATTCATTCATTTTATGAATATTCTCTCTGGAGAGTCCTTATATATATAGCATCTCAGACTTAAACATAGTTGCCTTATGCCAGGGAAATCAGGTCATCCTGCCCAGCCTTCATGTGCATTGTGCAACTAAACGACCACCACGGGATCGTCCAAACAAGCCAAGCCGCAAGCCAAACATATCCAATGCATCTCGCCATAATCGAACTCTTGACCAGCCCGATCTTATCATTTAAACTTTGCACCAAGTCCTCAATCATAATACCCACTGCCTGAAAAGTAAAGAACATTATGGCAGAAGATTCTTTCAGAGGCATGCCAATGGTAAGATCAGGTGCTAGATGGATCAAACCAGATATATAAAATACAACCAAGTTCTTGGTGTGGCGGGTAATCAGTGAGGTCTTGGGGAGGTGTAGTATGTCATATACAACCCAATCGGCGTGATCCGTGAGGAAGCATCTCCAGGTTTGATGCCACGAAATGCTATAAATAGTCAGTACCTATGAATGGAAAGTATGAGTGGAATGGGAACTTACCCCCACCACCTGCGCACACTATAAGCCTCCTTAAAGGAGCCAAACCAAGACGGCCACATAACTGGCTCACTCAGGCCTAAGCCCACTAACACGACAGCGATTACGTTGTAGCAAATCTCGCTGGTTGTCCCAATCCCAGAGAGCCATGTGACCGTTGAAATGGCTCTCTGGAGAAGCTCGTACAGTGTCACTTCATTCAATCGCGAGAAGAATCTAATTCTGTCACCAGAGAGATCCTCGCGAGTTGGTTGGGGCTGGAGACCAATAATGGCCATGTACGCAATGGAAGCGAGGATGACAGCAATGCGGTTCAATAAGAATCGACCTCTTGATGGAATATAACTTGGATCTTTGGAAGAGAATAGAGGTGTGTTTCGGGCTGGCCTGGATGTTTTGATGCGACGCAGATTCCACTGCATGGCGATAGCCCATATGAGACGGCTAAAGAATGATCCGTTACCAGAAGCACCACTACCCACGAAAACAGACTTTGGTGCGGTATTTTGATGTCTCTTTTGGTTCAAGGTCTTGTACTCAGCCTTTGAAAGACAGAGCAGCGAGTTACCATTGAATGCCTGAACCCAGGAAAATGTTACGAGAAGGCATCGAATACTCGCGTTATCCGACACGGCGGAAGCGGTGCGGTCACCAATAAACGTGAAGATAAATACCAAGATAGAGGCAACTCGGCGGATCCATGCTTGATCTTTGGTTGTGAAGCCCAGCGTAGCTGTGCAAAGAAAGTGAGCGGCTGTGAAAGAACCAAGTGAGAGGCCCAGCGTGGGATGGCTTATGAGAAAAGACATGTTGGTTGGCGGCTGTCGATTATGATGACGAGAACATTGGATGCCTTATTTCATAATACTGTATTGTATATAAATATCAATTACTACAATTACGTCTCTCTTCCGGACAGTCATTAGTAGTTTGGTACGGAAGCTGCCATTTCTTGACAGCATTCAATGTCGTGGAGAAGTACTTGCCTCTAGGTTGTTGGTGAAGCATGTCCCCTGCAATATCATCGGTGACCGAGAGGGATCAGGGTTCGGGCCGCTGTTCTAGTTTTGATTCAAAATAGACTAACTCCGAACACGCTGGGCTAGGGATTACAATGTGCTACCCCATATCGCTTGCAAAAAAAGGTCTTCAATTTCCGAATTCTGTTCGACGAAGCATTCATTTTTTGCGGACGCTTTTTTTTTTCACGACCAGCATGACCTTGGATGGTGAAAACGAAAAGGCCAAAAACGCGTCTACCCAAGAATACCCTTCTGTAGAGGAAAGCAACGCGACTCTTGGAAATGATGCCCCAAGAACTCCGGGGATAGACTATCCCAGTGGTCTCCGCCTCATCTCTCTGATTGTCGGGCTTGGTCTCGCTGTACTCTTGGTCGCGCTCGTGAGTATCGTGGTCTACGTAAAATGTCCGCCATGTCTAACCATATGATACAGGACAACACAATCATTGCGACTGCTATACCTCGGATTTCCGATGACTTCAAGTCTCTTGACGACATAGGATGGTACGGCTCATCCTACCTCCTAACAACATGCGCTTTCCAACTCCTGTTCGGGAAATTATACACCTTGTTCAACATAAAATGGGTTTTCATTGCGGCAATGGTTCTTTTTGAGGTCGGCTCGGCCGTTTGCGGAGCTGCGCCGACGTCCGAGGCGCTCATCGTCGGACGTGCCATCGCAGGATTGGGATCTGCTGGTATATTCCAAGGTGCCATTATCATTATCGCTTATTCTGTTCCCCTCGACAAAAGACCTTTGTGTATGTGATTTCTGCCGGAGTGGTGACATAATTCTAACCGGCATTCACAGACAACGGCATGTTTGGATCTGTTTATGGCGTTGCATCTGTTATTGGACCACTGCTGGGAGGAGCATTCGTTGACCATGTTACTTGGCGATGGTGGTAAGTTGTCTTCACAAGATAATATAGCAGAAAGCTGACCGGACAAAGCTTCTACATCAATCTACCCGTAGGTGCCGTCGCCATGCTTGCCGCGATAATGACCGTTCGTATCCCGAAGCAAAAAGACCCTTCTCAAGGGTCCTCATGGATATCCTATGTGAGCGATCTGGATCCCATTGGCACAGTTTGCTTCCTTCCTGGTGTAGTATGCCTATTGCTTGCTCTTCAGTGGGGGGGAACAAAGTATCCTTGGAGTTCCGGCAAGGTCATAGGTCCTCTCGTCCTCAGCACTGTCCTCCTCGCAGCCTTTGTTGCTGTCCAGGTGTGGAAGGGAGACAAGGCTACAGTACCGCCTCGAATCATCCGCCAGAGGACACTTGTGTCTGCGAGTGTCTTTACTCTCCTGCTCAGTGCTGCATATTTCGCCATCGTCTTTTACATACCCATATGGTTCCAAGCTATCAAAGGCGTTTCTGCTATCAAGTCAGGAATTATGTGTCTGCCCATGATTCTGTCAGTCGTCATTTTTTCGCTTGTGGCAGGTGGAGGAGTTACCGCCATCGGGCATTATGTACCCTTTGCTTATGCCAGCAGTATCTTGACCGCCATTGGAGCGGGCCTAATCACAACCTTTGAGACGGACACTGGCCATCCTAAATGGATCGGATATCAATTCTTGTTTGGGGCAGGAGTTGGTTGTGGTATCCAACTGGGTATCATCGCCTCCCAGGTTGTTCTACAAGAAGCTGATATTCCGACCGGAACTGCCATTATCACGCTCTGCCAAATGTTGGGAGGTGCGATATCCATATCAGCTGCTCAAAGTATCTTTGGTAATCTCCTTGGGCATGGAATTTCACAAACGGTAGGAGAGGATTTAAATATCGTCACACAAGTTGGAGCTACGGATCTAAAGGACGTTGTTGATCCTCGGTTTTATGACAGAGTTTTGGAGGCTTACAACAGTGCACTGACGGAAACGTGGTATCTCTCGGTGGCCCTGGCTGCACTGTCCATTGTTGGAGTTATTGGTATGGAATGGAAGAGTGTTAAGAAGCTAGCCGCAGCTAAGTAGTATGTCCATGCATGCAGCTAATTCTTTCTGATAATCTACAGCTATAATTCGACATTCTGGACATTCTAGGAGTTTTTAGAGATAGTAATAGAGAGTATTATTCTCTAAAACATAAGTATAGAATTAATAGTTTATTACAATATATAGGTATTTAATCTACAGTAGAGTTACTATACAAATAATAATAGTAAATGCTTTTATTATTTTGTTTATAATTATCTACCTTTTACTTATTACAGTCATCAACTGCTGCTATTATTACGTAGGGGCGCTCAGGTCCCAGCTTCGGCCACCGAAGCTCGATCATGGTATGACATTTCGGACTAAATGTGGAATAGAGTGTTTACATTTGAAGTAGCTTCTAATTACGTGAATCTCTTATCGACTAACATAATAATTACAATGAGCTAGAACCTCTCTGGCGCACGATGCAGCCACAAACTTTGAACTGCGAATAATGCCAATTTTCGGGAGCCGATTGGCTCTTTTAGATCTCATTTTTTGCACAAAGTGTCCAGACCATCCTCCGCTCCTCTCTGTGTTACGCGAGGTGGCGTCGACCATCAAGGTGCTGTGCCTGTAGTCTTGGCGTGGGGGAGAGAATGAGTCCGAGGGCCAGAAAAAGTGTCCGGACCGATGGCTCAGCAGATAGTGTAATTAATAAGAGGAACTGCTCCAATCAAGATTATGCAGGACCATTGCTACGCAGATCATTGCTCTTTCCTGCTCTCCTCGATTCTTTTGATCTGGTGTCAATCAACCATCTCGCATCACCATGAAACCCTCCACCATCTTCGCCCCATTGTTGTATACCCTTGCCTCTGCGCAAACAACAACTCTTGATGTTCTCTTCCCTGTTGAGGGCATCAAGTCAGTCTACGGTACCGTAGTAGCAGCAAGCCCTCAAGTCACCACCTTCGCCCTTCACTGCGGCGATAAGGTCGACAACGTTCAATGCGAAATTATCGGTACCCAGACCGTGGTCGTTGGGCCAGAAACTTTGTCCATCAACTACTCGTTTGATGGGAACGAGAAGGCTTCTTACTTGTGAGCCAGTCTGTTAAGCAACCCCCGTCAACCAAACTGACCTTCAATGCTTAGCTCTGAGGACCTGAACTGCAAGATCAAGACCGCGGAGGCCAGCTGCCACATCTGGATCCAGACCAAGAACTCAGCCGGTGTAAAGGTGACCACGTCCTTGTCGAAGTATGAAATGAACACCAAAACCGGCCTGAAGCCTGCCATCATTACCGAAGGAGCTGAAAAGCTCCAGGCTCCAGAGGCCGCCGCGACTCCCACGCCAGGTGCTATAACATCCACTGCTGGAACTCATGCACACGAGACGCAAGAAACCGCTGGAACCTCTTCAATGCCCATGCCTACTCCATCCACGGCCACAGGTGATGCAGCTCGGGGCATGTCACTCCACGGTGCAGTGGTCGGGCTTCTTGCTGTCTCTGTAGCCTTCCTGATTATGTAGTTCAGTATTAGGATGATATGTTGGAAGTGCCCAACCGTCGCGAAGATCAAGTACTTCTTTCTCCGTAGATAGATCAATTTTATAAGTGGGACTGTTGAAGAGGTTCATTAGCATAAATACATACCAATGAATCGGGGTTTTATTATATTAATATATATGCTTTACAGCATGAATAGTAATCTCTTCTTGACTTAAAGTCTTACACTATTAGTTAATAGTCAAATCTTATAACATCTCAATGAGATATATCTTGTACTGTAAGCATGTATCTCTATATAGTGCAGTATAAAGTAAAAGCTGTTAGTAGCAGCTTGTATTACATAACAGCCATTTAAAGTTTATTGCCTTCTATTGCATACTGTGTTGTAAATGCTGATAATACACTCCTGCAAAAAGACTTATTTAACCTCTCATCCTACTATTTAAAGGGCCAAGTTGGTACCAGAACCCCGAGAACTCCTCAACGTTCCCATCCTAGTCAGTATATCTTTCTGTTCTGATGTCCATACTTCCTCTATCGGATCCGATAATACAGGTACGTGGCCTTTGAGCTCTCTTGACACGGCTTCCACCTCACCTAGAACCCGAATTACATTGCCACCAAGCGTTTGTGCGACAACATCTTCTGAGAGTCCACGCTCGAAAAGCTTTTCAACAAGCTTCGGGTATTTGGACACATCATCTAAATCTTTTGGACCTTCTAACATACCATCGAAGTCAGAGCCAATGCCAACATGCTCGAAGCCTATCCTTCGACCTGCATATATGATGTGGTCAATGACCTGATCGATCATAGCCCCCTGGACTCCGTTGGCGCTGACAAGGTCAGGGAGAAAGCAGATCATTATAAGGCCGTTGTTTGTCTTTAAAAGATCTAGGATCTCATCTGTGACGTTACGAGGACTGGGTAGTAGCGAGTTACTGGGTTGGTCAGATTTATTAATTCCTAATTACTTAATAGCTGAGGACTTACCAGGAGGAATGAGAGAAAATGACTGGGGCTTCAGAGACACTCAGAACTTGTTTCTGAGTTTCTGTAGTTGTATGCGACAAGTCGACTATCCTGTGAGGGTAAATATTAGCACTATTGTCGCAAAAACAACTCTGGGCAACTCACATGCCAATACGGTTCATTTCACGTATTATATCCAGGCCATAGCTGGATAAACCACCATTGGTACTCTTTCCGTTCTGACATAACGTTAACCAAGTCATTCAACCGTGATTAAATACTTACCGAGGAATCAGCGTATCGATTATCGTCATCGTGACAGAGAGTGATATATCTGACACCAAGTTTGTGGAACAGCCTCAGAACGGAAGTACTGTCAGCAATCTGATGCAGTCCTTCAACACCGATCAAACTAGCAATCCTTCCTGATTTAAAAATTGTTTCAATATCCTTTGATGAGTTTACCGCCCCGAAATGATCAGAAAAGTTCTCAATCATTAAATGAATGGTGTCAATCTGCTGCAAAGTCTTTATCAGACACTCAAGCTTGCCGAGTGTATCATTGGTTTTTGGACTAAGAAGAATCAGGATAGGCACAGTGAAATCAAATATTGAAGTAATCAAACATTGGGATGAAAGCGCTCCAGAATTGTCCACCAATGAGGCCCTTTCTCAATCGTGTTAGGTCTGTTTGGCCAATAGGCATACTATGAATCCCAGGATGGAAGAGTTCAAAGTTATTTCCAAACCATCCTCGAATCATGTAGGGAAAGTCATTGTGTCCATCTGTGTTTCCTGTGAGTAACGGAGCATGATGGCAAGTGTTTTATTACTAACCGACCAACGGGACTCTTTTCAGCAGGGCATGGGCCTGCGACAAGTATTCATCGGGTGTTGGAGCCATGGTTAATCAAGTAGATTATCAACAAGGTTTACTTGGACTAGCACTGAGCCATCTTTAAGTAGTTCTAACTAAATTCCTTCCACCATTCCGACCCCAGATACGGCTGTGTATGGTATCATAGTAGAGCCACATGGTGATAAAAACCAACCTAACCAGTTCCCCGACCCAAGGCGGTGCATTACCATCCGAATTAGTTCTTCGCTTAGCTCTCTTCATTATACCATTGATTATAGGCATCCAAAAGCCGATCAGGAGCGACGCGCCGAATTCTTCGTACTTGGAAAGACTTTTGTGATACGCAGTTAAACCACGTAGATAGTCTTGGTATGAGGCTGGCAGGCCGGATTGTTCGGCTCCCTGAATCAATAGCCCCTGCTAAAGTCAGATCAGATTCAAAGCATTGGCCCGCAGTGCCTACCATGTACCGAACGCTCGGAAGTGCTTCGGGCCGGAATGGAAATCTCGCCATCAAGGTCCACACCGGAATCTCCTCACAAGTCGCCGCTCGCTCCGTAAACACAGTTGAACAGGTCCGGGCTAGCAACTCCATTTCGACATAGGCTACGCCCGCCCCTTCGGAGACTATCAGCCGATGATATTCTTCCCGTGATAGCAAGTAAGCCATCCCGTGCACCGAAGGCGTTGCTTTTGCGTCATCGACTGGAGTCCTCTCCCGAATACCGGCCATAGCGGGTTCCTTGTATGGGACACCGAACACATCGAAGCAAAGAACATGAGAGGACACAACGACAGGCCGAGAGTCTCTTGGGTTTAGCTGCCGTCGTTTGAGTGTTGTGCTGGCCATATTGGAGCCGTAAGCAAAGTACCAAACCATGTCGGTGTGCTGCATTTTACTGGTATTTGGAGGCGCAGATCGTTAGTGCTGCCGAAATGGTGCTGGGTTAGATTCCTAAATACTGTAAGCAGGGTGGACAGGATCGATCATACGGCCCGCGACGATGTTTTCCTAATCTGAACTATCTTATTGGACACTGATTTTGATCTTATGTGGTGTCTGTGCCTTCAATTCCTCATAACCATTCGAAAGCAGTAGCCTTCCCAGAAGAGACATCGAACTTTTACCATCATTCCACTTCTTCACGATGGGATTGCTACAGTTTTCAGCTAGTCAGGCTGCAAAGCTACAACATGTGCCCTTTCATTACGGCATTGCCTTACTACTCGCAATGACCTATGGTCTATATCGCATGGTCCTACCGAAAAAGAAGCATAATTTGCCGGTATTCAAACTACGAGACAATAATGTGCTGGCTATTCTTACCGAGGCGTACCAAAAGGTCATTCAGTCCCTGATCCGATTCTAACTTTGAGAGCTGACTCGCTTCTGCAGTACCCGACTTCGCCTTTTATGCTCGAACTGCCAGGTATGGAAATGGCTGTTCTGCCACCCGCCGATGTAGACACCATCCGTGGGCTCCCGGAGTCAGTTGTGTCAATTAAGTAAGTCGGCCGATAGATAATAGCTCGCGGTTCAACTACTGACAGGATTCAGAAAGCACCATTACGATGTTTTTCTCGGAGAATATACTTACATGGGTACCAAGTCAGACGAATTCGACTCAGCAATGCGCAACGTTCTCACCCGAAACACCCCGGCCGTTCTCGAGTCATTCACCGAGGAGGTCGAATATGCAATTTCCAACACAATCGGCCCATGTCAGGACTGGACGCCTGTTATTGCTCGCAAGGCCATGTGCAGAGTCGCATCTCTCATGTCTGGAAGGGCGTTCGTGGGACTTCCACTGAGTCGTGAACCAGACTGGGTCGAAGCCAATGTCAACTATACAGCCGACGTCTCAAAGGCTTGGATGATTCTAAAGATGATCCCTCAGCCGGTCCGGTTTTTTGTCGCCCCTTTTCTCCCTCAGGTACGAAGCTTGAAGCGTCAGAGGAAGAATAATGAGGCGAAACTGGCACCACTCTTGGAAAAGAAACAGGGCTCGTCTCCAGCTTTGGCTAACGAAGAGAAGCCTGTTGGGGGGAATTTACTCGACTGGTTCATTTCGCAGTACAAAACAGCCCCAACTGTTCAGGAGCTTGGCAGAGATCAACTCCTGGCAACATTTGCCTCAATCTACAATTTATCCAACGCCTTGACCTATATCGTCTTTGACCTGGCTGCCACTCCCGAGGAAGACGTCGAGGAGATGCGAAAGGAGCTGATGGAAGTTCTTGGAGAAAATGGCGTAATTGATAAGAACTCACTGGCCAAGTTGAAAAAGCTTGATAGCTTTGCCAAAGAGTCTCAGCGCCTTTGTCCTCCGTCACTAGGTAGACAAATACATCCTCCCACTTTATGTTTCATCGTACTAATCGCAGCACAGTCAATATTCCCCGTATCGTCACGAGTCCAGAAGGACTTAAGACATCTACCGGGGACGTTCTTCCTACAGGGACACGTATGACCATCATGAGCCACTTCATTAACCACGACCCCAAAGTATATCCTGACCCAGAAACATTCGATCCATTTCGTTTCTCTAGACTTCGTGAGGTTCCAGGGAACGAGACTAAATACCAGCACGCATCAACAGGTCTTGACAACATCAATTTCGGGCACGGTATTTGGGCATGCCCGGGTCGGTTCTTCGCCAGCGCTCAGATTAAGGTGGTGCTCGCGCATCTACTTATGAACTATGATGTCAAACTTAGGAAGGGCACGGGCAAGCCAGGTCAGATTCATTACGGTTTGGCAATCCTTCCTGATGCACAGGCCGAGATTATGTTTAGGTCTCGGAAATAGAACCAGTTAGCTAACATAGTGCAATACTAAAAGAATATAACTGTATTTAATTCTATTATAATTCTTTATATATTTAAACATATAATAAAAACTGAATAAAAAGTAAATTAACTTAAGAGATATATTATTATTAAACAATAAAATATTTAATTTTGATATATATTAAAGTTTATAAATTTCATTGTATTTAGATAGTTTATTATAATTTTATTTAAAACCCTATTAATAAATAAGTAAATAATTTAGTTTAGGTAATATAGTTTACATTTAATACTTACAGTATATATTTCAAGTATAAAGCAGTTTCTCAATATAATAAGCCTAAATTTAATTGCTATATAGAAATCTTACTATATACTTAAACTTATCACCTTAAATAATACTTATTTCCATTTCGAAATGCTTGTTTCGGCAACCTTGATAGCTCTGTTCATGAGGAACCTTTTGAAGGTCTATCATTGGTGGCTTCCAACGGGGGAACCAGGAGGCTTGTTAGGCCACCAGGGTTCTCGGCTTTTCGTAATTTGTTTTCGCAAAGCGGGCCGAAGCGTTCCTTCCACTTTACAGATGCCGAAAGTCATTTCAAAGCCGGAAGCAATCACTGCTTGCATGATTCCAAGTTCTCTGAGCTGATTTAAGCTCTCAGGCATAAATCTTAGCTGCAAATAACATATCTAGCTCCTGACTTGAACGCTTGCATTGATTCAACACGAAATGTATATAGATAGCGTTAGCATGGAACGCTCTACATGACTGACTGTTGAGTAAGATCATCAACCCTGTTGCTTCATCTGCATTGCTCGACCGATACGAATTACTTATTCGGTATATTTTACTTTCAGTCAATCTTGCTCATTACCCCCTGTTAGACCATGACCCAGTCGATGTTCACCTTCAACATTGCCTTCACTCAATCCGTGAATCCCCCAGATCAGAACGTTGTTCTCAATGAGACAGAACTTTGGTATGGGATTCGACGGGGAGGCCGCAACCCCCACGACTTTGCACCGTATGTAGCCTCTTGTGAGGTTTTAGCAGGTACAAAGAACGAATTTCGTCGTAAGCTCACCCTTGCCGATGGTGCGGTCCATACAGCGGCTGGTGAGGATCTGATCCAGGATGTTATCATCGCCCCACCGCTTCATGTAAGTGCGCCCCCACATTCCATTCCGAGGCATTGATTGATGTCCGCTCACACCCACCTAGGTTCAAGCAAAAACAGTCTCAACGGGCGCCACAAGTACCTTCCTACTGTCTCACGGCACAAATGGGCAACAGGACGACGAACGACCTGTACTTTTCCTGACAGCCATGTATGAACTCAAACTCGACAACGTTGAGCCTGGAACACAGGCTGCTAAGGATATAGAGGTCAATTATACAGCTCTGGCTAGAGGGGCCTGCGAGAACGCTGTCAAAGATATTCGCAAGTGGAAGACTGAAGGAAAGCTAGCCGCCTGGCAGAAAGAAGACGAAGAAGATGGGGCGGGTGGGCCTTAGGGGGGCGAGACAGTGCTGCACAAGGCTTAGCTGCAGAGTACTGGGTTTTTACCAAGTTCCCTCTACTAATTTAAGCGCTCAGCCACAAGCCTCAAGTGCAAGTACTATACTAGATTAAAGCCGAAGTACGAGCAATTGAAAAAGTCCACAAGGGTTTCATTGATGAACTCAATGTCAGTGAAGTGGGTATTGGTGGGAGAATCTAGCCCATTGCGTGAGCGGACTCGCTACGCGGAATAATTAAAGGCAGTAGTTTTATGCTTGATTGATATTACGAATGACCTAAACTGGTGCAGGCTGCGCTATTTCCGACTGATTTTCGTTTAGCGGACGTGGGATGATGCAACCTTGATGGCCGGTAGTTTTAAGTAGCCAACGGCCTTGCTGAATCATGATTCACGATCCACAACTCTGCCCGGCTTGAGCTGACAGTTCAAGATCTTGAGAATTCAAGAGATTTCGTTGGTTGCTCATTGTTATCGATATAATCGAGCCACTAACGAATAAACCAGGGACAGCAAGAATAAAGTCCCCGCTGGGAACCAAGTCGATCGCACCCATGCTGTATTTATTCTGAAAGGACACATAAAGGGTAGTGTCAGTTGCCCTATTTCCGGCCCTCCTGGCTTCGTGGTGCCATGACCGAAAAACAGAGGGAAAAGCCTGCTCGATTGAGAGCCGCATGCACTGAATGCCATAGTGCCAAGGTATACCAGAACCAACCAGCCGCAGTGAATGGGGATCGGCAAGGCTGACAAGCATGCACATCAGGTTCGGTGCAGTGGAGAAAAGACAGGTTGCGCTCGGTGTCGACAAGCGGGACTCAAGTGCTGCTACAAAGTCTCTATGGTTGGAAGAATGTCACGCAAGAATAAACAAGTATCGCAAATTACAGGGGGAAATCAAGGGCTGTCACAAGAGAATGAGGACCAACAACGAACACGGCATAACTCCGCCAGTTTGGACTTGTCACAAACCGCTCTGGCATCACCTTTGAGTAGTTCGGCAAACTTCGACGCTTTTGATTGCTTTAGTACTGGTACTGGCAGTGCTGCAGGTGCCGGGCTCTACGGCGACTCGACCATTGAGTCCGATAGGTCACATGACTTCCAATCAGGTCTGAACTTTGACTTCAATATGGATCACATGACGCTCGACATGATAGACATGGACGGCGATTCAACCATACACGCAAGCGGGGGGCCACCACCACAATTTCCTCCTAGCCCAGAATGTTCGAGCTCATCAGTAGCTGCATCCTTGGAATCTGCTACAAGGAAGATCCAGTTCGATGGTCGCCAATTTCCTCATGTTGCGGCGCTGTCCAAGATCATACTCATACTTGAACACCATGTCCGGTCCAAAACGCATTCCATCGACGAAATTCTGCGCGTTAATAAAGCATGTTTGACAGATCTAGCCACCATAATGGATCAGAAAGAGTACAAAGCTTGTCGTAGCTGTCACATGACTGTATGCTCAGTGTTGGATCTCATACTGGTGCTGTTTGAAGACATGGTTCAGGGTCAGGCGTGGAGTCATCAACAAAATTCAGCAATCACTTCGCCAGTTTTACAGTTTGGCGTATTTGAACTGGACCCTGAAGAGCAGATTTCGATGACAAAAAGAATACTTCATAAGGAGATCCAGCGAGCTTTGAAGATTGTTTATGAATTGTCTAAGGAGGTTTGTGGAACTGGAGAGGATGGACAAAGGAGGCTCGTTGCTCAGATGTGCACATTGTTTATTCGCAGGGGTGAGCATCTTACAAAGTCTCTACATAGCGGATCTACTTAGTGGTGACTAAACATCTACATAAGCTACTCAAGCCAAAACGAAATACAAAAGCAATACTATACTTAGTCATGTTATGTAGCATCCCAAATAGCTACCTCTGATAAGCTTCAGTCATAACCTTCTTTATTAACACTTATATCCTGTCTTCTTTCTCCTCGTACTTCAAAGCATCCGCGATCCTATCCAAAGCATCAAGCAGTCTCTCCATTGGAACTGCGACCGTCATTCTAACCCAGCCGAAGTGGTTTAGATTCTCAGAAACTTCCTTCCAGCCCGCAAAGCCACGAAGTCTTGACACCACGATCCCAGCTTGTTTCAGCTTTTCAAGTCCCTCATCTTCCTCTTCGAGATTGCTGGCCTGCTTTAACAACTTCACAGTTACATAGGGACCAGCATGCGGATATATAAATGGAGACCCCCATTTACGGAACCGTGTAATAGCAGTTTTATGAGCTTCTTCAAGACGTGTTGCTGCTTTCTCTATGAGAATTGGTAGCTCTTTTGATTTGAGAAGATAGGTTGCTGCGATGGAGGATAGACAGGACGTATGAATAGTTGACAGTAGGTAGACTGAAGCTAGTAAGGCTTTACAGCTGGGATTTTGGCTTATGAGGAATCCCTTGGTAATATGTTAGTTAATAAAATACTTGTAGGGTGAACAACCTTACCAGACGCAAGCCACTTGAACCAAAGTCCTTGCTCAAGCTCCAGATGATATGAATCTTACTTGGAGACAAGGTCGTAAGCTTTTGAGCTAACTCAGGGCTCTCATGAGTCAACCTAAGCGCCGAGGTGAAAGGCACTCCGCGATTACCGTCATACCCATGTTTTCGTTGCAGGTCACTCATGGCGTATAGTTCGTCAGAGATGTAGTGTAACCCATGTGTTTGACAAAAGACAATTGCTTCCCTGAGATCTGTTTCATGGTAGCACTGGGCAAATGGATTATGTGGATTGGTCACGATAAGAGCTCGCACACGGCTTTTGTCTGAGACACTTTCATATGCTTCATTCAAGGAAGAAGCTAAAGAGCCTTGAAGTATTTCGTAGTTACACCCATCGGTAGGTATCTCGTACTTTGTTATGACTGGCACTATCGTTATTTTGGCCCGGAGTCTGAAATGGAAATCAAAACCGTCTGCGTCTGATTAGTCCTTGCCTCGAGGATTGAATGGCTTACAAACTCCAATACGGTGCGGGTACCAACACAATATCCCCTTCATCACAAATGCTGAATAAAAGTGAGTCAAGACACAAGGTGGCGCCAGGCGTAGCTACTATGTGCTCTGAGAGGACAGGGTTGAGCGGCTTGAAGTAAGTGTTGAAGAAGTCAGCTGCTGATGCAAGCAGCAGTGCGTCGCCACCAAAGCCTTTGGAATAAGACAAATGCTAATGTAGAGATGAGCTCCATGATCCAAAAGGTAACATGACCTGACACATACGTCTGCAGTCAGGTGGTTCTGAATAGCTTCCGTGCAGAGACGTTGAAGCTCAGGCCTAATTAACCAGTTCTCAGCTGTGGCAAGGTCTATCTTATCAGAAGATCTGTCGCTTAGATTTGATGAGACTGTTGGCAAAACTGCGGCCACAATGTCTCTCATGTGAGGAGAAAGAATCTCAGTTAAGGTCATAATTTAAATAATATTTAGAAATATTTCAGATACTTATTTTAACACACTATAGTATTATATAAATTAATTCAATGTATTAATATCTCTATATCAAAGCTATACTGGCTTTCCACTTTGAAGCTTTTGTATATATCTGGCTACTGGTGATTCTCTGACCGCCATGCTCTACTAAGTCTCCGGTCGGTAACCCCTGGTAAGGCTCCGGCCGGTATGTCCCCGCTAAGTTTCGGGCCGTATAAGATTGTGCATTTTGTATCGCCTATCCCTCAAGGTTCGCGACATCCTTAACAGGGATGGTCGTTTCTCCAGAGGCGGGTTAACGTTGACTTTGTTATCCAATACAGTGTAATGCAGGGTAATGCAGTAGTCATTTACGCAAGGCAAGGGACAGATGGTTGAAGATCAATCAGTTGAAAGACCAGATCAATGATGGTGAGTCTATTAGCCATAACGAGATAATCTATGAAATTGCCTCTCCTGCAGGATAAAGAATTTGCTTTTTATCAATAAATGTGATCTAAGGCTGCGGAAGCTTGATACCTAGCGCAAAATCCGGTCGAAATCGAAATCACTTTCTAGTAGCATCTCCAATGTGGCCTTTACCCTGGACGCAAGATCTTCCACCTCAGGTAGTGAAATGCACGAGTCATCGTACTCTATCCTAAGCGTAAGGCTACCATCTGGAACCTCCATAAACTCAAACATCAGCTTGAATTTGGCACCATTCGCCCATATATGGCGAGATTCAAAAGATGGGATATCCAACTTTAGTTGGCTAACCATTCTGTCATCTAGAAACGTGACCATTATGTCAAAAATGGGATGGTTGGGATATTGGTGGTTTACGCCAAGCTCATTAACAACGCTATCCCAACAAGTCGCATGTGCCACTGCGGCCTGCATAGAGCATTGAGTTGATTGAAGGAATGACGAATTTCGAGTGGCCTTGGAATGCTTTAGTCTGACAGGCAAAGGTTGGAGAAACAGCCCAATAGTCTGTAGTTCATCTTCGGTTTGTCGGTGCATTGAAGGCATGCCAATAACAGTGTCCATATCATCCGCATCTTGGTGAAGACAAACAGCAACAACTGCGATAGCTAACAGCTGATTACTGCAAGCCCTGGCTGTAGATAGCTTCACGATAGAACTCCAAAGCTGGGAGTCAAACTGTATAGTGAAGGAGCAGCCCCGATACGTGGTTCTCAATGGTGTATCACGTAATAGCTTTGGCGCTTGAGGTAGATCGCTTAGATAATCCCTCCAGAAATGAATAACAGATTCGGATGTCGCATCCATCAATGACGTAGAGTCCGCGTAGATGGGCCTCTCTTGCACCGGGTGCCCATGATAAAACCGAGAAGCATCCTGAAGTAGAAGACTGAGTGTAGTGTAATCTGCTACAACATGGCTGATGACAACCATAAGCTTGTTCCTGGCCACAAAGACACGTATGGGGCTTTCCTGTGTCAAATCAAAGGGTCGGTTTGCTTGTTTCCAAAAGTCAAAATCGGACAAAGCTTCAATGCGTGGTGGTGCTTGATCAGAGTATCGCTTTGAGGCCTCCCCATCGAGTTTGAATCGCGACGATAGGATTTTGTGTCTCTGCAAGACTTGATTCCATGCCCAGATCAACCTGTCTCTACAAACCGATACTTCAATGAAAGTGGAAGCGAAACAGACGTTGAAAGAAGCAGTCCCTCTTGGAGATTGGTACTTGGCGAGCCACTCGTGCTCAATGGGCGAGACCCTGTCCCCAAGCCGCGCGCAAGATACAGCCAAAGGCTTTGATTGGTCTGGACCAAGCAGGACCTGAAGGCTATCTGACAGCCCACGAACCGACGGGTTGGATAGGATCAGTTGAAGAGGTATTCGCGTCTTGAATGTTTCACTCAGTGTTTGAGCAAGGCGTATCTGTTTCAAGGAGTGTCCACCCAAACTGATAAAGTCCGAATCGAGAGATACTCGCTTTGTGTCTTTTATCTCCAGGACTTTGCAGACAACACAGGTGACCAACCGCTGCATGTCGCTCAAAGGCTCACTATGGCTCTGTGGAAGTCTTTCGCAAGCATTTGAAACAGCGCGATAGTCAACCTTTCCAGCTGGCGTCATGGGAATATTGTTTAGAGCAACAAGGTGATGTGGGATGGCGTAACGGGGCAAAGCTGAGGATATCTTGGCTTTCAACTGCTGAATGTCAACACCTTCTGGCTGAACAACTGCCACGAGCTCATCTTGCTTTCTAGCTAGGGCAACACCAGAAAGTTCGGGGGCTGCTCGCGAGATGCGAATCTCCAAGTCATTCAGATCCAGACGATATCCACGCAATTTGATCTGACGGTCATTTCGACCAAGGCAACATATTTCACCAGCTTCGGTCCAGTACCCTCGATCCCCTGTACGATACATGGTTTCTCCATTTCTCATGATGGTGTCAGGGAGAAATCGCTCTTTAGTTTGGTCATGAAGACCTACGTATCCCCGGGCGACTTGGACACCTGCAATGTAGATCTCACCGATCATACCTTGTTGGGCGAGTTTTCCCTGCGAGTTCAAGATGTAGACTCTTGTTGTTGGGTTGGGTGTTCCAATGGTGACTGCATCGTCAGGAGTCAACCGTTTGATAGTTGCTCCGCCAGTACCCTCGGTAGGGCCATACATGTTGTATAGAGTTTTGACAGAGGACCAACGATCCGATACTATCTGAGGAACCGGTTCGCCAACAAGGTACACCTTAATGTTCTGTTAGTCTTAGATTAATCATCAACAGAGTGGCTCTTACCCATTTCAGCATCGGATAGTCCTCGGGGTTCAGTACCCTAGCGATAGAAGGCGTTAGAATCGCCGAGTGAGCCGTGTCCAAAGCACCCAAGGGATCAGCACTAGACGGTAAAACCAGTGTTGCACCATGTGTCAATGCGGAGAATATCTCATGAATGCTTCCGTCAAATGCAACCGACATGACCTGAGCAATGCGAACTCCAGGCTGAGCAAAGAGTCTCACCTCAAGGTCGCTCTGGAAAGCAACCAGACCCTCGTGCGTGCATACAACGCCCTTAGGGGTCCCAGTGGAACCAGACGTAAAGCAGAGATAGGCATTGGCCCATGGCTTGGGTGTCTTGTCGCTCTTGTCTAGGCTTACCGTAGGATCTGCTAGAATTGAGTCTATCGAGTCGCATAAATCACACGTCGATGGCGTTTGGCAAAGCTGGCATGCCTTTGGAGTGAGGAACAACTTGGCGTTGGCATTCCGAAACATGGTTGCTCTCAATTCTGATGGAAGAATCGGATCCAGTGATGAGTATACACCGCCTGCCTTGAGGATACCAAAGATTGCCACGATCCAGTTGAGCGACTTGTCCGAGTGAACGCAAACAATGTCACCTTCGGAGATCATCGAGGCAATTCTGGAAGCAGCACGACTTGCCATAATGCCAAAGTCACGATATGTTACTTGTACAGCCCCGTTGTCGACTGCAATACCATCTGGATGTTTCTCTACACATCTGTTGAACAAGCTGATGAGGTCGTCACTGACCGAAGACCTTGTGGTTCGGCCTGACATGCAGTTACCGAACTTGGTCAAGAGGGCTCGGCTTGGTGCTGACACGAGAGCCTCCATAGCCACCCCGACGGGCGTGTGTACTTTAGTGATCTGTTCAAGGGCGAGTTGATAAGAAGAAGTTATTCTCTCAGCATCCACAGTGCGGAGTTTGTCCGTATGGTACTGGAATTGAAGACTCTCAGTGTTTACAGTTACGCCCAGCGGGACATCGCTCTGCTGAGACTTGGACGTCGCAACTGGTCGAATGTCGAATTCAGACCAGTCATTGTGCCATGTCTCGACAGACAGCGTCGAGTCATATCCCCGACCAAATCCGTGGTCGGTGCATGTCCAGGAAAACTGCTCAAGGTCAAGAAGGCTCCTAAACAGTGAAGCCAGAAATTCTTGAACTGTAGCATCTGGATCTACAAATGTGTACAGTGGCAGCGAATTGATCAGAGGACCAATTACCTTGTCTGAGTTTGCAATGGGGATATTTCTTCCACTGAGTAGAGCACCGAAAACAACAGTCCTGCAGTCTGAGAAGCTAGAAACGACAAGCGCCCATGCTGCATAAAACATGGTGGCTAACGTGACATTGGAATGCTTTGCTGCCACTTCCAGGCGACCTCGCATGTCATCTATAGGAAGCGTGATAGTTTTGGCCTCGTTGAGTTCATTGTTCGTGTCAGGCTTAGGTAACTGTAGGGTACCCTTGGCCTCGGGATAAAGCTTCTTCTGTCGCGACCAAAATTCTTTTGCAAGGTTGGCGTTATCCTTTTGGTACGTTTTGAGATCTTGTGCCCATTTCCAAAAGGATGGCATGGTGCTTGAGGAGTGGCCGCTGGCGACTCTTAGGACGTTGCGGAGGAGAAGCTGGACGGAAATGCCGTCGATCAGAGCATGATGTACTGTCCAAATAACTTCAGAGGTACCGTTGTTCGTATCTTGGGTTGTAACGGTGAACCTGGAACCGATGAGGGTTGTCTTTGCCTCGTCTTCTGATGGATCTTCGACCCACACAAAACGCGGATGCTGAGTACCAGTAAACGGCGCAGCCCAAGCCATATCAAAGATATCCACTCGATCGACAATAAACTTCCAAGCTGCGCGAATTTTATTGATGTCTTCGTTGCGATGCACCATGGTAAACCTGATCATGTTCATTCGACGATCCTTAAGAGTTCCATGGACCAGCGCCAACTGCATCTCTGTGGCCTGCTGGGCCCCTTGAGCCATCGATATCGGCTTGAGACGATAGGTCGACAAGCTTTCTTTAGGTGGAAACACTTCATTTTCTAACGTGGCCACGGAGGAGCATACGCTTGAACATGACGTCCTACAGCTAGAGCCGTTCGGGCTGGACAAAACGTCTGGCTCCGCGGGAGAGACTGTCTGCCAGTCGCTCTCAGATAGATGAGTTGAGTACTCTGCTGGTGTTGAATCAACCTGCAGGTCA